AGAGATTAAACAATATGTTATTGAAGGTCCTAGGTTCAATCCCCAATAACTCCATTAAAAAAAAATAAACCTAATAATCTCCCCCTTAAATAAAAATAATAATATTAAAAAACGTATATGTAAATGTACTGATCTTCAAAAGAGCAATAAAGACAAAGAAACACTGAGAAAGTGTCCCAGATTAAAGAAGACTAAAGAATTTGCAGGTCAATGAAATGAAATTGATGAAAAACAAAATTTTTTTAATTAAAAAAAGGAGACTAAAGAGAGGTAACAAAGAGGCGGAAAAGCCCTAAAGAAACTTATTAGGACAACCGGCAAATTTTGCTTGTAGGCTGGGCATTAGACAATAGTACTGTATCAATGTCAAATTTCCTGAATTATACTATGATTATTTAAGGGACTGTCCTTGTTTTTAGGAGATGCATGCTGAAGTAATTAGGGCTAAGAGACATAATGTCTGCAACTTACTCTCAAATGATTCTGAAAATGACGAATATACACATAGAGGTGGAAGTAAAGTAACTGTGGCAAAAAGCTGGCAATTGATGGATGTGAATGAAAGATACACAGGTATTAGTTGTATTATTCTTGCAATTCTTGTTAATTTAATACCACTGACTTTTTTTTCATTGTTTTTGTTTTTTGGGAGGAGGTAATTATATTGATTTAATTACTTAGTTATTTTAACGAGGTCCTAGGGATTGAACCCAGGACCCTGAGCATGCTAAGCATGCACTCTACCACTGAGCTACATCCTCTCCATTTCCACTGACATTTTAAAATCCACTGCAGTAAGGGAAGAACAAGCAAACAAACAAAAACAAACCAAAAAAACCCCAAACCCTCAACAAGGTCTACAAGCCCCCGAGGAAAGACAGTACTTCTCAATGCACATAACACACATCGGGGCATGTGGAAGGAAGGCTAAACCATTTGTGGACTAAATCAATGGAAAGTAGGGGCAAAGGTTAAGGTGTGCCAAGAGCACACAGTGATGGGGGAAAGATGGGGGTAAACTGAGGAGGGAGAGTGGGCTTTCCTCTAGAGTTTCCCAAACCTGCACCAAGTTCCCCAAGTTCCATGTTTGTCTTAGAGCTTTGAGGCGCTTTGAGGCAGTGAATAAACACGTCATCTAACAGGACAGAAATTACTGCGTAAAAAAGGTTAAATCCCACTCACTGGGGGTCTTGCTGCCAGGAACTCAAGGGCCATTTTCTCCTCTTTTCGCAGATCTCTCAGGGCCAGAAGATTCCAAAGAGGGCAGAATAGGGAACCAGGAGCAGTGAGGACTGGGTCACATGCCAGAAATCCTCATACACAATCTCTGCAGATCCACTCTTAAATCTAAAGGAAAAGAAAAGAGTCAGGAGCCAACCTTGACCTACAGGACCAAGGAAAACATAGAGCATGCACATCCTGCAGCCTCTGCACTCAGAGGGGCTTTGTAGAGATACAGCTGTTACCTGTGATACCAAATTCACAACTGGGACAGCGCCACCTTTAACACCTGGGACTAACTTCCACTGAGACGACAAAGGAAAAACAACTCCCCTACAGCCTTTACTGGCCAAGAGTATGGAGAATTCTCTTTTGCAGATAAGGAGGTGATTATAGGAGTGACACTCCTGGCTTTGCTACCCCAGAGGCAAGTTCCCAGGAGAAGGTCATTTAACTCCACAGCACCTGGGAGCTTAGAGAAGCTGCTGACCCTTTGAGCTCTGGGGTTTCTCAGATGCAAAGTGGCGGCAGTCCTTCGGCAATTCACAGCAGGCCTGGCTGGGGGAACAGCCCACCCTGGTGTCAAGGGCCGTCTGCCTACCGCTCTGATAACACACCCCTTGGCTCACTTATAGAACAAGCCCTCTGAGTCAGAGGTGAAGGTGGTCTCACCGGAGCATCTACAACAAAAGTGGAGATACAAGACTCTGTTCTCTCACCTCAAAGTCCAAGTCACACCTCCAAATCCAGGAAAGCCAAAACACACTGTCACCCTAAAGACCAAGACTCAAAACCCCCACTACATCCCAAACCCAGGGGCACCCACTTCCTAACTTCTCCCCACATCTCCCCAACCTGAGAATGCACAGATCTAGCCGCCCCTACAAACACCTAAGAACATACAGCCCGGGAAGCTCCCACTAAACCTGGACCCTGCCTCATTGCCTTCTCCCCAGCAACCTGGGGCTGCAATGCCCAGGTGCCTCCCAAACCAAAGTGGGCTGTCCCCTAAATCCAAAGAGCCCTGTCTCCAACCCCCCAACCCAAGGATGCCTGGAGACACACAGTCGCAGCCATCCACCCTCACTTCAATAAAACCAAGATGTCCCCTGCGTCGCCCCTTAGACCTCGCGATCCCCCAGACCTTCGGTTTTCCGCGATCCCCCAGACCTTCGGTTTTCCCCGTTCCCCTTTCGCACGATCCCCGTTCCCCTTTCGCACGATCCGGGGACCCCTGGCTACTTCCGCCGCCTTCGGCCAGTAAAACTGGAGGACTCACCTCCACAGGCCTGGGAGTCTTGGGCATGCTGGCCGCCACGGGGCCTTCACGAGCCGCTGTTTCACGGAACCAACGAGGCCCAACCGCGCGGCGGACCCAGAAGGCCCAGCAGCCGATGCCCGGGCGCTAGAAGGCGCCGAGACCGGACGGCGGGACCACACCTCCCAGAAGCCCCTGCGCGGGGCGCGCTCCAAGCCCCTCCCCCAAGGCACGATGCGGGAGTGGTGAGGCCAACAGGTGAGCTCGGAGTCTCACCTGGGAACATCCTGCGAGAGGAGTCTGGACACACAAATACAAAACCAGGATGTGTCTCCTCCCGTCTACAATTAGGAATAAGTGAGGGGAAAAAAAAAAAACCAAACCAAAAACAACCCAAAATACCTCTGTAATTTCCCCATTCAGACATAGCTATATTTAAGCTTATATCATTTCATATATTTACGTCATCTTAACCTACTTTTTAAGTCAAATATATATTGAACTTGTGTCCTCCCATAATATTTTGTAAATTCTATATGCCACTTTTGTAATTAATTTTTATCTTGTCATTAGGTTGTTTCAAATTACTGATACTACAGTCAACACTTGTGTTTGGCAGAGTCAGAGGCAGAGGAGTGGCAAAGCTTTATAGTGAAGAAAGGGAAGGTTTCAGGTATGTTCTGATTGGAGGTTATTGCCATGGAGAAGCTGGGCCAACTACAAGCAGTGCATCTTATGTGATTGGTTTGGGGGTTCTAGTTGGCTTTCCCCGGTTGTCCTGAGTTGGAAGCAGAGGTCAAAAATAGGGAAGCTGGCATTTAGTGACCAAATCCTGACTGTTCTGGGCTGATTGCTGCCAAGGTTGCTGTTTGATTTCCTGTTTGGAAACCAATTGGTGGCCGCAGAGTTTGTGAACAGAGTTCCATTGTCATATATGATCTGGCGTTGTCTGTTTGTATACCCAGCCTTTCAAGTTTAATGGTTTCAAACAACATCAATCATTTATTATCTTTCATAGTTTCTCTGGATTAGGAATTCGGAAACAGCCTAACTGTACAGTTCTGGCTCTGGTTTTTCATGATCGCTGAACCTGGAACAGTGTGAAGTTCCAGGAGCAATTGGGAACTAGCTGGATATCTCTTATTTCAAGTAATCTCAGGGTTTCTCCATGTGGTTTTTCTGTGTGGGCTAGTTTGAGCTTCTTAACAGCACGGTAGCCTCAGACCTCTTACATTGCAGCTCAAGGTTCTAAAGGCAAGAGTCCCAAGAAAGATCCAGATGCAAGCTGTATCCCCTCTTATATCTAGTCTCAGAATCACATGGCATCATTTCCATTGTACTCACAGTTTAAAAGGCCCATCTAGATTCAGAGGGAAGGGACATGGACTCCACTTCCCGATGGGAAAGTGGCAAGGTTCTGGAAGACCATGTGGAAACAAAAGTATAGTCATAGTCATTTTTGGAAAATACAATTTGCCATAAACTGCAAACAGATCAAAGTAAAGGAAGAAGTTTTCATTCTCATTCTACCATGAAGACTGGATATTTATATTACTGAGCTGAAATCATTTGTAGTAAGTAGGAGTGATGAAAAAAATCACGATTTCTAATTAAATGTTAACAGGATCAGGGAAGATCTAGCACCACTTGAGCATATTTAAAGTGACAATGAGAGACAAAAATGAAGCTGTTTTCTGTTTGCCTTCCTTGAATATTAAGTCCAAAGTGATAATAATTGATAAAGATGATTCTGCACAGTTAGGGAATTATGGCTAACTGGGTTCAATCAAAAGAGCCATAAATAACTTATTTAAGAGTGCCATGAAATATAAAATAGATAAACAACAAGTTCATACTGTATAGCCCAGGGAACTATATTCAATATCTTGTAG